TTGCACATTGCCATGTCTATCGAGTTTTCAACTCAACTGCCAATGTAACATAAAAAAAAAACAAAATTTCTTCACATATGTACACATTTAATCAGTGGGAAAAAAGGAATGATGATGGTAATGTATATACATGCACACATATGAAGCATTTATTTCGATAGACAAAAGGAAGTAAAGCATAAAGCAATTCAGTAAAACTTTTCAGCAATTGTATATATGATGTGGAAAAATTGTTATGTCTAGATTAAGGAGAATATGGAGTTGATTCTGAGACATTGACTGTAGCTTGATATTTTTCATATTTTTTGGTAAATGATTGACAAACTTTTCTTCACTTCCAGATGCTTTTATTGACGCATATTATCGCAATTAAGCATGGCGAATTAAATGATCATGTTGTCAGCTACTTTGTGTCAATAACTACAGACATTTACTCACATTGTCTGGGAAATAAATTAAAAAAAAACTTTCTCAATGAAATTATTGAAAAGTTTTTGCACATCGAAATTAGTAAGTTTTGTACTTGTGGCGGTGATGGTTGCGATGGAAGCATTTTTTTCAATGCAAAAGTTTTAACTTTTGCAACTACACATTTTCAATTTCGTTGAGTGAATCTCGGTAATTAAGTTTTATTAAATTTTTAATGCTTAAAATAGAATGAATATGTGAGATGTAGTATAATGTAGTGTATAATGAGGTTATAGGGACGGGAATCTGGAGTTATTTACTCGATTTTTTTAAGGTTGAATGTTTTTTGAAATTTTAAGTGGTTGCCTCATTAAAAAGTATTTGAGGTTATTAAGTTTGACTTCAATTGATGCTACATTGAGCAGAATTTGTGGTAGATTCAAAAATCACAATTTTGCTCAGATTCTCATTTTAACCTCTTCCTAAGATTGAAAAATCTTTAAAAAAAATTTTCCATCGATTTTGGTTGAAGCACGAGTCCTCCTCCTTATTGGTTCATCGTCTGGATTTATCAATCACAGCAAGTTCACAACATATCTCAAAATATTCATAACATTTCATCTGGCAATGACATATTATAAACAGAAAAGAACTACATAACTCGATGCAATTCTATATTTAACAAAATCCATTGAAAATATCTTTGAATTAAATCACGATAAGAACTAAAATAAACATGCATAGAACAACAAAGTTACAACATCCAATCAACAAAAATGAAAAAAGAATTCTCAAAAAGCTGCTTTTTTCTGTCAATGCACAGATTCAAGTAATTGAAATCTACAAAAGAGTGCAAACAGTAAGTAGAACAACCACATTACAGAATATATCATTGTGTCACAAAATAAACTTACTTTTTTGTCTATTCCTCATCTCTGTTTATTTTGTCAAATTGAAAATGAAGTTCTGAAAGAAGTAAACGAAAATTACGTTGTGCATATGGAACTCTTTTACTTTATAAAACTTATTTCACATTTTTATTCTCACAAAGCATAGTTTTTACAGCAGTAAAACAATTTGTTTCGAATAAAAACTTTTACCTGGAAAAATAGCTTTTTTCTGATTCTTTTTCTCGTAAAGTTGGAAGTTTAAATTTTAAAATAAATTGATTTTGCTTTAGGGAATTTGCGTAGACTAAGCTTGAACCCAAAGTAACACAAGATATTGCGGATTGTGCCAAAGTCATCCTAGTCAAACTAAATGATTGATAACATCGGCTTCAAATGGGAATCGAACCCACATTTTAGCAGTTCTTAGAGATTAATGAATTGGAGATTCTTTGTATTATTCTTTCAAGTCTTAGCCTACAAATCTGACCAAAACAGTTAGACTTCAGAAGCCTCACAAGCCTACAGTCTGCTTCACTCTAGAAATAAGACGTAATTTTTGCAAATTCATGGCTAAGTTTATACTCTTATAGTATTTTTTTCTGATACAACTTCAAAGAAATTGAAGATTTACTTTTAAAGTTATTCCTTTAAACTCAAATCCCCTTTTTCAAAAAAAAGAGTCCCTTTCATTAATAAATTAAGGAAGTAATATCGCGTCGAATTAATTGAGAATTTAAATCCTTTTTTAAACCATAACTTCCATCAAACTTTTGAAAGACGAAACAACAAAAAAATTCAAAAGAATCAAAAATTAAGGAAATAAGGGTAGAAAAAAAAATTATAAATTCACGACATGAATTTCAAGACAACAAATTCGTTTGATGTTTACTGCGGGGCAATATTAACAACAAGTTAAATGAATTTTCCTTCTCATTTTTGGGTCCCAAAAGGGCTTTATCTTCATATAATTGAACTTTTTTTTCCCATTAAACGTCAAAGGCAATCTATATTCAATGAACACACCACCCATCGACTTCCGTTTTATCCTAACCCCCTTATTTTCATTGCCTATTCCATAAAAGATTTTTACTGTGTGTATGTGAGAGAGACTGAAGATGGCAAGACATAGAAGAAGAATATAGAAGAAAATGCTTCATCACGTACATACATACCGCTGAGATGATGGTCTTTTAATTATAAATCAGATGGTCAGGAAGCTCATCATTAATTTCCTTATCTATCTTATTCTACTTTATGCTTTTACTTCTCTTGGTTGTTCTTTGTGGCTTAGTGAATTCAAATGGAAGGTTTTTTGTTGGCTTTTCTATGAAATTTTTGAGGATTTCTGTTGAAAATGGCAAATGGAAAAAGATTTGCTTTGGTTGATTGAAGCAGATTCAAGCTTAATTTGAGTTTAGCTGAGTCGACTGAATTAAATGTTAAGAATTAGGAAGGTTGAAGGTTGAAGCTGTCGAGTGTCTATAGTGTTTAAGTCCCTCTTTTTTCACTTTATCAAGTCCATAACAAAAACCTGGAGTATCTTAAAAATCAATAGATTTAAAAGAGGATTTGAACCCAAAAGTTTAGATTTTATACCAACTTATATGACTCAAACCTTTCTAATTAAGCTATCGAGCCACAATATCTCCTTAAATTTAGGACCAACATAAATACAATCGTATTCTTATGATCATCTCAGTTCGAATTTTAAGAAACCCTAAACCAAATGACCAATAAAATGACTAAGGTCTACTTTTTCTTACCCCTTCTTGTTTCTCATCCTTTATTTTCCCAAAATTAGCAAAAAGAAGACATTCAAAAGATCTATTTATGCTGTTCTATAAGCTGAAACGATAAATTAAAGTAAGAAAAAGAAGGAAGCAACTAAAAAAGAGACTGACAATAAATAATAGTGGTTTTATTAGTTGTCCAAGAACATTATCCTCCTTGATCTTCTTGTGACAGCACTTGAATGTTCATTCTTTACTCTTTTGTCTCTCGAATACAATTTTAATCCATGGCAATTTGCTTCAAATGCAATTAAATTTATGTTCATGTCGATACACAACGAAAGATAAGTCGGAATAGCCGGAAATTTCAATTTTCTTATGCTCCAATTATTAAGAATGAAAAAAGGAAATTTTTGCCACTCTTCCTATTCATGCATAGCCATCTCGCTCCAATAACTTAAATAATGAATAAAAAAAATCACAAAGAATCAAAAAATTATTTATCGCCATTTTGACGCAAATTTAATTAGTCATTGTTAAGGGAATTTAATTTAATTTTGTCTTTTTGTGCTGTTTTGATTCGCTTTATTGACTTAGATGCTGTAAAGAAATGAAGAAAGTTTAAAAATTTAAAATAAAGTTTTGTCAAGAGTTTTTTGAATAAATGCAGCAAGATCTCGTCTAGAATACAATTATTTGAGTTTAATAGATGCAGAAACAAAGCTGAACTTGGGAATTTGATATTTATGCTGTTGGATGCTGTCCTTTAGCAATTGCAAGCATGCATCACATAAATAAAAATTTTTTTTCTAAAATACACAAAACTTCAAAGTTAAAAGCTAAACATTCCGAAACATCAACAAATTTTAAAATATTTCGAGAATGTAAGAGCTTCAAGCATTAAAAAGTCAAAAGAGCATTTGTCAACAGAAAAGTTCAGTAAAATATTTGATATATTTTTCATTCAAATGATAAACAATTTTGTTGATGACATAAAAATATTGATAGAGCATTAAGTAAACTCAATAGCATTACTGTGCATGTCATCTATTGTTGACAAAGACTTAATGTTTTTTTTCACATACTTTGACGAAGACAAACTGAGTGAACAAGTGCAAGCACTTGACGTGAGACATTTTAATGTTGATCAAGAAACAAGGAAGGAGGGAGATGAGTCTTTATTTATTAATAGACATCCTTAAATAGAGCTATAAAGGATTTCACAATGAGAATGTTCGTGTACAGATGTCACATGTCACGGCACACTCATTAAAATTTCTATTTTTACTTTTTCACATTTCTTTGTAAATCCAGTCTATTTTGATCATTGCATGAAATTTTTTAATGACTGCACCTTGAAGCTTACTTTCATAGCTTGCATTAAATGCACATTCTCAGAGAATTATTACAAATTGAGAGAAAAATTATTCAGCTATAAACATTCTTAACACATACAAAAAGAGAAAAGAATCAGCTGTAATATGAAACAGCAGTAAAACCACGAGAACAAGTCACATGCAACTGTCCAAAATTTGCGTGCTAACGGGTTTGTTCTTTAGTTATGTAACCTTATATTTTAATTTTTTATTGACCTGACCACCCCCCCCCCCCCCCCACTAACCCTAATCAGTTGCAATTTTTATGTTTTTGGAGGTCCTATAACCTCTTAGCCCACACCCCACCCCCTCCCAAAACCACAAATTAGTGAGTAATTAAAGCTTCTAAAATAATTATCTACACAAATTAAACGTGAAATGTTTGCATGTATTTGAATCAATAGAACACATTTCTTTGCTGCTGTCTATTTCACGTGTTTTGCATCGTGACCTGTGCTATAACTTTACTACACAATAACAAATTCCGTGTTTGTACATTCTACATTACAAATACTTTTACAGGTTCAGCATGTTCTGATACTGAAAAATAAATATATTTTAGTCAGTTTTATTTGAGCGCACTGTGATTATAGTCGCAAATATTAAATTAAAATTTAAAATAATAAAGGAAGTGATATACACTAAACAATACATTAACTTTTAGTGATATAATAACAAAGTTTTGAGAACTATTTTTGAGCTATATGACTGTGAAAGTGAATTATAGAATCAAAATATTATTAATTAACTGGATTAATTACATATTATAAATTGTAAGTGTGTGTTTACTAGCTAAGCTTATAGTCGGCTTGAATTTTTTCCGGATGTTGTTTAAAGGAAAAGCTTTGAGTCGATTTTTTGAACTTTTAAAATGACTTAAAATTCAAAATTAATGTTAAAGCTACGAATTAACAAAGTGAAGTCAACTTGAGTCGATTTCAAGCTATGATTGATGTTTGAAAATTTATTTATTGGCATTTACAACTGTTTATCAATGAGTTTGTGGATAATTTCTTAATTAACGCTAGTGAAACTTACTTGAAACTTACTCAGGGGAAGCGGGTGTGAGGAAAGGATTCCAATTGCTTAGACTTTGTCAAAAGTTTCTTTCTTTTACTAGTTTTTTGTTTGCAAACTCTTCGATCAGTTCAAAAAATATTTTATTTGGGGTCTATTCATAAATAATATCCAAAAACCTGTAACTCTAAAGCAGTGTTGTCCAAACTTTTTGAGCCATGGCACACTTTAAGGATTAGCCATGACCGAAGTCGTACACAGCATTAATTGTCCACAGTATGCGGCTCGTGTTATTTCCTAAAAATATCTACGGCACACTAATGTGCCGCGGCACACAGTTTGGGCAACACTGCCCTAAAGTCTAGAAATGCCTTTGTAGATAAGAGAATATTTATTGAACTCGTTTTTTTGTTTAACAAATGACCATTATTTTTGTACATCATTTATGAACCATCCAATTTATTTAAATTATTATAAATTAGTAATGCAGTTTAGATGAGAATGTATAAATTTAAAGCAATTAGCATTTAGTTCGATACAAATGTCTATAGTTTAATCTTATTTTCTTGTTTCTGATGCACAATGTATTGCATAAGATTGAATTCTTAATGCGATTGTTATTTAAAGCCCTTCACTGGATTTTTAAAGAATTTTTGCAAATTACGATTTTGCTGTCAAGCATGATGAGAATTAGATAAGCTTCTATTGCCATAGGTATAAAGGAAGTGGAGTGTCAGTCTTAGCAAATTCAATAGACTTTTGTGTTAGTCTTGAGTCAAACTACAGCCATTTTTGGCTAATCCATTGCTATAATAACTCTACGCTGGCTTTTGCGCTAATTAAAGGAAGTTTATGGATCAAGAATACTCAAGCATTCTTGACATTTTATTGTTATTATTTGTAAAAGTCTGTTAACTTCGGACGTCATCAACAACTGCCCAGTAAATTGATCAAAAATTTCCCATAAATAGAGATCCTCCAATTATCATAAAAAAACCTCTCAGCTTACACCCCAAGTACTGCCAGATTGTGCAGAGAATATTTTTAACCTATGTTGTCGCCACGTGAATGATTAAATTATTTTATTGCGATGCAGCAACTCAACCAAGATATGAATACCAAAAAGTTTTTCATCTGTTCGCAAATTGTTATTTATTTATAGATGCTTCTGTTATTATTACTATTCCTATAAACTTATATATTCCAATGTAATAATACTCAATTGAAAAACAAAGAACAATTTATTATTTAAAAGGAGTTTCAATTCGATGAAGAAACTCATGCACTTGTTTCTGACATTTTCCTCCACTTGATGGTTATATAAACGCCCACAGATGTGCTATTGAACAGAAGCCATTTCCTTTTGAATCTTATTTATAGCCTTACCATAAGTCTGGTATGAGATTACTTCTTCTTCTTCTTACTGATTACGAGAAAATAATAATAATATGATTAAGCTTATATCATCGAAGTGGTGAAGGATATTGTTACTGAAAATAATCATTTTATCAAGGCAATATTACAAAACATTAGCTGCTGATCAATGGCATATATAGTTATTTCATCCATATAATCTACTTCTATCAATAGTTTCTGAATTAATGCTTAGATTTTACGAATTTCCATTTAAATTTGTAAAGAGCATCAGACGTTCATTTATTACGTTAAACCTACTTCTCCAAACAACATCAATAGTTCTAGATATCAAAGCTTGTCTCTTCTTTTGTTGAACAATATTGGGGTATTTCTACATCCTTTTACATCCTTAACAGCTTCACATAAACTGATCATCATTTTAATCAATTCATTTTTTTACGAATGTTTTAGTTGAAGAGAAGTTAAAGAACAGACATAAACAATGGAAGGAACTGAATCAACACATAATACAAAAATATCTGACTCAGCATACAGCAATTCATGCAGTAATAGTCAGTCACAAAGAAGTGGAAGCTCTAGTAAATCTAGACAAAGTAATTCCAGTGGTTCGTCATCTGGATATGGCGGCAAGCAGCAAATCACAGATCGGTTCGTTAAACTTAATTATTGTCATTCAATTAAATGCTTATGTCTAGTTTCTTACCAAAAAAAAATAGTGCGATTCCACAACCTTTATCAAAGCGATCAAAGGATAGAAAGAAGAAGAAGTCAAAGACAATTCAAGCAGGAACAACAACTCAAGATGATGCACAACCAACTGTAATAAGTGAATCACAAGATGATGGAGTTATTGAAAAAGAGACAGGTATGAAATAATCACATTTATATGCCTCTAAGAATGTTTACTTTTTAATTGTTTTACAGAAGTAAAAAATGACGTCCAAGAGCCAACAGGAACAGAAAATTCATCATCTACTAGTACTGAAAATATTCAGCCTGCTTTATCACCATCTCTTAACAGTAAGAAGCTGGTTGAAGATGATCACAATTTACAAAATTTTGAAGGAATCAATGACATCAAAATCGATCAAATTGATCAAATTCAGCAAGCAAAGGCTGACAAAATAATACCCGAAGAGGGATTTTGTTGTGTAATGAGCATGCACGACGGAGTTGTTTTGTATGACCAAGCATAATCACTTAAATGGCTTCTTTACTAACAAAATAAAATTCACATTATTCCAACAGATATACAACACCCTCAATAACGAGCAGCTTAGGATTCCCACGCGATATGTGGTAATTTAACGTGTTTCTGAATTTTTAAAACCAGACGAAATTTTTAAGGGGGGCTCAGTTGTTAAGAAATTTTTCAATGTGACATCACATGGCACAGCACGAACTTTTAGGTTTCGTAAACTTATTTTTTTTATTTTTTGTGGTGTCAGACAGGTGTCTGAGCAGATTGGAATAAAGGGTTCGATTCATATGTAGTTTATACTGCCAATGTTAGAGTAAGATCTTTATGGTCGATCGGTTATGCAACAGACTCAATATCTGTACAGTTTTTGTGAGATGTTGGTTTGATTCCCACCAGATGCTAATCTCTTATTGATTACATAGTTGATATGAAAAGGATAAGGACAGTGCTCACGACATTTCATTTGAATTTAACGACGATAAAGTGTGTTAGTGCCAATTCCTAATCAAAAATCGTCAGGGATAGAGAAATAAAGTAGATTTAAAAAACAACTATAACAAAATAAGTGAACGGTCCTTAATGAGCTTAATATTAATTACATAACTTTCTTGCTTATTTTTTTTAGGTTGGGAAGAAGCTTCATTGATTTTGTTCACCCAAAAGACAGGTAAGACTTCAACTTAGTATTCCAGCAAAAGCTGCAGATTATCAGCTTTACTATCATTGCAATCTAGCTTTACTAATCCTTAATAATTCCTTCTCAGACCAACATTTGCATCACAAATTACATCAGGAACAACAACAGCACTCGCCGAAGCTCGTAACAGTAATTTCAAAGACACAAAGCAAACATTGTATGTGATGTTACGACAGTATCGTGGACTTAAGTCCTATGGATATGGCGTAACCACAAAGACAGTAAATTATGAGCCTTTCAAGTTGACATTGACATTTCGCGAGGCTCCTGATGAGAATTGTATCTCAAATCAAATGCCATACAAGACAACGCCGTCTGTAAACTCTTCAATGCTTCTTGTAATCAGCGCTACACCTGTTAAAAGTGTTTATAAAAGTAAGTATTATTATCAACTATTGCATGATAAACATGTGATTTATATTTTTCATTGTCTATAAATAGTGAGCGATGAAGTTTTTACCGCACAAAAAGAGCATACAAAATTCACAACACGCCATACAGCATCTGGTATGTTAAGTCACGTTGATGGTACTGCAAGCTTGTTGGGATTTTTACCTCAGGATATGTTATCACGAAATATTATGGAATTTTATCATCCAGAAGATATGAAGTTATTAAAGGAAGTTTATGAGACGATTATGGAGAAGGGACAAACTGCTGGTGCTTCCTTTTGTGGAAAACCTTATAGATTCTTAACTCATAATGGAACTTACTTAACTATTGAAACGGAATGGTCAATTTTTGTAAATCCATGGTCACATCACTTGGAATTTGTTATTGGATATCATCATGTTAAGAAAGGTCCATCGAATCCTAACGTCTTAGCATCAACGGAAATGCAATCGCAATTTCCTGAGCAAGTGATCAATGAAAGTAAGATGATCCGAGAAGAGATTCTGAAGCTTTTATCAGAACCGATAATGAGACCAAATGATACAGTGAAGCAACAAGTGTCAAAGCGATGTCAAGCATTGGCAAGCTTTATGGAAACATTGATGGAAGAAGTAACAAAACCAAGCTCGCGAGCAGATCTCAAATTAGATTTGCCACAAGAAGCAGACTTGACTTTTTCTGAACGCGATAGTGTCATGCTGATTGGGGAGATATCACCTCATCATGACTACTTTGATAGTAAAAGTTCTTCAGAAACGCCACCAAGTTATAATCAATTAAATTATAATGAGAATCTGCAGCGATTTTTTGATAGTCGACCTATAACAGAGCTGGATATTATGAAAATGGATCAAACGGATACTCACGAACTAGAGACGCGGACTGCAAATTTAAGTCCTACGCAGTGTTTTGGTGAGAGTGGAGGGTCTGAAAGTGCGGGAAATATGAGTTCAGCGAGTAATGCTAATATGGAAAGCATAACAAATACATCAACAGGAACTTCAAATGGCAGTTCAAACTACATCCCACCAACACTAACAGAAGCATTGTTATGTAAGCATAATGAGGATATGGAAAAGCTTATTATAAAACGGCACAAAGTATCTCGAGTACATAAAGGTGGAGAGAAAAATAAAAAGGCACAAGAGCAGCACTCGCATGGCGTCAAAAGAAGTGGGTCACATTCATGGGAAGGTGAAGTCCATAAAACATTCAAACAGCAACATGTTAATGAGACACAAAAGTCAGTCACACCATTCCCAACTCAAACAAATCCTCAGCCTTATCAAAATGCAAATGTCGATTTGTGGCCTCCATTTTCTGTAAGCCTGACAACAATTCAGAGTACGCACACAACAGCACATGCAACACATTTTGCAACATCTTCAATCTTTCCTGCTGTCTACTATATACCTCAAAATATATCATCACAAGACCAACATGGTTCAATACAGGCTGTTCAATACATGCCTGGTTTACTTTATCAGTCAATGATGTATCCACATCCATCTCCCTTTTATCAAATGCAATTTCAACCCCAACAAACACAATCAAGTATTAATGAGTCAATTTACAACACAACGTTTCAATTTGACAAAGCAAATATGGCAATGCCAAATCTTCAAAAAATCCCAACTCCAATCGGTAGTGGTTCTCAGAATCAGAGTACATCGTTTCAAAGGCCACCATCTCAAGCTACGTCAGTTAAGGCTGATATGGGCTCAACATCTGCATCAGTTGTAAATAGAGTAAGTTCAAGATATTTTTTTGAATTTTGAAGGATTTTATTTTATTATTTTTATTTTTCTAGGCGCTTTCGGAGTCGTCAAAGAAAGGACAGGTGGATTCACCAGCAATAGATTTTACAAATCAACTTAATCATCGAAATAATGACAAGGTATGTTGAACTGAGAAGTTCCTTTCTATAACAAATCATTGTCTAATCTCCCATTATTCCTATTTAGACAACAAGTGAAGATGAATCTAGTCACTCAAGCTTTTACTCATCGTTCCTAAAAACTGATGAAGGACAGACATCATCTAATGAAGAAAGGAACGAAGGCAAAGATGACATGCAATGGGAGAAGACACCTAAAATTCCAATTAAACGCCCGAATCCTCATTGGCTTGACAATATTAATGTAACACCTGAATTAATTTATCGATATCAAATAAGCACTAGAACATTACGTGATGTATTGAAGGATGATTTGTGTGCCATGAAAAATATTCAGCAGGTAAATATGCTCATGCTTATAAAAATTGAGATTTTTTCACAATTTAAATAATTTTTGCAGCCAGATCTTGTTAATGATCAACTTAATCAGCTTTACATAGATCTTGAATTGGAAGGATTATCAGCAAAATTATCTCTCGAGTCATCATCAGGAAGTAGTGGAGAAGAAAATTATAATTCCGTTAAGCAAAGACGTAAAAAGTTTCAGTATAATAAACTTGTCTTAGTGTACGAGGAAAATTGTCCTTTACCTTCAGACTAAGTCTTTTGTTTACATGAATTTTTTCATGTCTGACTGATTTTTTTAAGCTTATTATCAGCTATATGTGTGTGGTTATGTATGAAAGTATTGACTTATTTATTTTTGCATTTAAAAATTTACAGATAAATGTTGAAGCTACTATTTTTAATAAAATTACCTGACTATTGATAAATAAAATTGATTTGTGGCTTTTATTTTATTAATTTTATTGGACCTACAGACTAATGGGTTTACAGAAAACAATAAGCAAACTGATAGTAGATTAACGGCTGACATCAATTTGAAAACTAATTGACAGCATAAGGAACCAAACTGACAGCTTATTGAGAGCAAACTGGCATTATTTTTCTAGCATCTAGCATCTTGACCAAAGACTTACAGTATTTTTTTAAGAGACTTACAGCAAACTGACAACAACTTGACAAAAGAATGACAGCATTTTTTTCAGTAGACTGATAGAAAACTGACAGCATCTTGACCCAATCTTGACCAAAGACTGATAGCATTTTTCTAAGAGACTGAAAGCAAAACCACAGACTATAAAAATGCCGTTTGTACAGATCATTTCCTTGGAGACAACGACATAATTCCGTCCAGAAACTCATAAAATTCACAAAAAAAATCTCCGAAACAAATTAACAACTCAAAAGTCCATTTCGACTGTTGGCACAAGAAGCTTCTTATACATATGGCTCCCTCGATGGCAAAAAAGCACACATAAAATGTAATAATCTGAATATTTAGTGAATGCATAAAAATATTACGAGCTAAAAAATGAATTGATAATGAAGCTAACAGCACATACATATGTATGTTACTGGATATAAATATACATAAGTCTCATATTCAAAATGGAAAAAATTCACATTAGAGAATGAAAAAAAAAAAGAGGAAGCAACGTACGGAATGTGAATGTGTATTGGGAAATGTGATATTGTTGTAAAAGAAAAGCGAATAAAAGTCCTCTTAATACAAATATGACGAAAACATGACCCAGAAAAATGTTTTATTTTTATACATTTTATGAATCTCTGCTTCCTTCTCGATTCCCTCCTCGTTCTTAACTTCCTCGCATAAGCACATTTTGGATATGCTTTCATACTAGTCGACATATATAAATATTTTGGCACATAACGCGTTTTATCGATTCTTTGTCCTTTAGATTCTCTTTTGTGAGTATCAACTATGTGTAAACATATGGATTGTTAGGAATAGGAAGGAAATTAAGTTGGATTTTGAGGTTATAATACTTTGAGCGCATTAATGAAGAGTCTCTATAGCTTGACTAAGCTTGACTTTACACAGATTCTGTGGATATGGCTCGAAGAGCGTATCTGTAGAAGATAGGCCTGAGCATAAGGCTCACGGTGAAACTTGTTATATGTGCATGACGAATAGCCGAAGTGAGATAAGTACTTTGGTAGCTAAGTGGCAGGGATCTCTCATCGAGTGATCAGAGATCGCCTCTTTTGAGGTCGTGGGTTCGATTCCCATCGAACCAGACTTGTTTAACATTAGTATACACATACAGCAGTTTATAGGGAGATCAACAGTCCCCAATGGTTAAATTAGCACGATTCTTAAAGGCTCTCAGTCGAAGCTCTTACTTCTTTAAACTACAAGCTACACTTTTGTGTAACACAACCTTAATCATTTCCAACATTAATTTGCCAACTTCCGTACAGGATTAAATTAAAAATCTATTAAAACATTTTAATTTACAAATTCTTAATCATGTTAAACGTTGAAACAGAAAAAAAATTAACCGTGGCAAAAGCATTTTTCCTCATGAAACAATGGCGCCATATAGCATGAAATTATATATGAACAATAATAATCATCATGTATTTATGAGAGCGCTTATTCTATAATATTTTATTACAGTCACAAAAGAGATCTAGTGGAAACATCAACAACAGAGTTTTATTTTCAGTGAATAGAAAGCTTTGAGATGTAGAAAGTAAGAATATGTTGAATATTTTCTACTCCTTATAATCCCTTCCATATTCCACACATCGAACAGACATGAGAGCGAAAAATGCTTTTTCATGTTGTTAGCATAATGATGGAAATAATAATATCAGTATTTTCTGCAATCTTTGTGTCAGCAACTTGAACAATACAATCACAATATTTATGAATTGTCTCTCGTTCAACAGCTAATCCTATCATGTTTCAAATTTATGGTCTCAATGCAGCAATTTTACACTTTTTTATTGTCACTCGACCCCTTTACTCCTCCTTGAACTTATCATTATAGTGTGACGACTTGACACTAGCTTAGATGATCATTTGAAGACAGTTTGGATCTTTTTGAAAGGATTCAGATACTATTGTGTAAAATCGCAGTTTGAATCACGTTGTCTTTATTATATAAAGCTTTGTGTACTTTCCTGGTAACTTTAAAATGAGGATATTCCCATCCTAAACCTCAAATACTAACAGCATCACCTCTTTTCCTCGTAAATTCATCAAAAATAAATTAAACAAGAAAGACAATTTCCTCAGTTCAATTTACGTTGAAATTATCGACTTTAATTAATCATCAAGTTGTGAATCTAATTAGTTGAGAAAGAAACAGCAAGACTATAACTTAAAAGCACTTTTTGATGTCATTTTTTTCTGTTTCTTTTTATAGCTGAATGGAAATTAAAAAAAGGCAAAAGTGTGAGGACGATGAGAAGAAAAAAAAATAATGAAAATAAAGAAAGAGGAACAAGTAAGGAAGTTGTGTGGAATAGAGCGCATTTTTTGATATTGAAAAGGAAATCGCATTAAAGTGGTCATCAAATGGCTGCTTATGCACAGAAGATTGCAAATTATCAACAGTTCTAGTTGCTTTCAATAGTTTGTGATTCTTGAAGTAGTTTTTAAGAATCTAACAGCCAAAACTAAGCACACAGTCATCAGAGCACCAAGTCGAATCCAGTAAACATAATTTTTCTAAAATGAAATCAATGTCTAGCTCTATTAGGTCCCAAATATTGTCTTTTCAAGCCATAACATCCAAAATTCATGATAAATAGAAAAAAAGTATCAAAATGGAATTGCCATCGCAATATTTTACACAAAGTGTAGGAACGGAAAAGTGTAAAAGCAAAATTAAGAAAACAAGAAAAAGATTTTCACCCAACAAACGTAAATTGAAGTAGAAAAGTAATTAAAAATCATCGTCATCCCTTTCCTTTCCTTTCTAGTCGTACATTTGCTATTCGCATCTCAATATACACCGCAATAGTACGGAATGTTAATGAGAAAAAAAAGAGAAGTAAAGATAATTTTTTTTTGTTAGACTTGACTTTTTTATTATCATCAGAAAGCATCGTCGACATCATCAGCGACGCTCTTTCCAATTAGATTGCTTCTCTTTGATCTTTGGCATCGCTTCAATGGCGCTTCAAATTAAAATGATGTTCAGTTTCTTTTTTTTGTCGCTTCTAGTTTAAATTACGAGTGTTCTGTAATGAGAAACTTTAACCTTTTAAAGTTTATTGTGGTGGAAAGTTTTATGGACTTTATGGATTACTGTTGTGCTAAATAGGTGGAGATTAGGTTGTTATCCAGTTGATAAGTCTGAAAAACATTTTTGATGGACGTCAGAAGCGAATACAAGTTTTGTTTATACGCTTGGACACTTCTGTAGCAGCTTCCTCGCCAATCATTATCATCAGAAAACCTTAAAAGAACCAAAGCATGATAAAGAAAAACTCAGCATATCTACAAACATTTAACTTCATTTTCCTATTCTTATCATCTACATTTAGGCATCAAAAGAAGAAAGAGAATATTTAAATGGAAAAGAAAAAGAAGAAGAAGAAGTTCTGAAAGAAGCACTGATAAAAGTCACGTCCGATAAGTCAAAGGAACATTTTTTTTTCATGAATTCTAAAAGGAAAGGAGATATGCTTTGTGGCATTTTGAATTCACTTTTTGAATGCTCTCCTTTTACACGAGCACAAAGTTAGACATTGAATGTGATACGAAAGGAATAAACGAGAAATAGAATTACGCAGCTGAAAGCAGCATAGAATATTTAATATTTACCAGAATTTTTTTTTTGTTGTGATGATTTTGAAGTCTATTCAGGATTCGACGAGTACTTTTTCCTGTACTGCAGATTTTTTGTATTGTAGAATTTTTAATTCCTATGGAAAAAAATCCGGTCATGACAGCGCAAACAATTCTCTCGTGATGAAAAAAAAAACCGTGTTGTATTGTCACCCGACTTTAGTTCCACAAATCATATTTACTGTCAAAGTTCAAATCAAGCACAAATTTGTGTCATTCCTGTCAAGCTCATACTCAAAAAAAAATTGCGATGATTTTGCTCTTTTGCCGTTCAATTTTTCGACTCTTGACCCATTGTGTTATATATCATTTATTATTGTAACTCGACTGAAGCTTTATGATTTATTATTTTTGCAATATTGCCATACTATCTTTTGTCCTAAATTTATACTCCTCGCAATACCATTCACAATATTCTTTATTCTTTTTATATATTTTTTATGCAGTTATGATATGTGATTTTTCTGCAGCGGATTGAATGTCTGACTGACTGTATAAATAGTTTGATATTTAAATTGAATGTTTGGTGGATGAAGAGACGTTTGTTGAATTTTTAAGAACGTGTATAAATCTTCAAACTAATTACTGTCATAGGGTCATCAACAGGGATATATCCAGAAAACATTAGAGACATTTTCACCATCAATAGGGGCCGGAACCTACTTCTCCTAGGTATCTTTGGGTTCAAAATCATCTCTTTTATGACTTTTGTAGATATAAAGGCTAATTGACAGTCAACTGCGCATTGAAAGAAGTTTGATTCGAGTCATAACCCGAAAGCTCATAATCTTACCGACAATTTTAAATCAATTGGATCTCCAACACTTGCTATGATGCTAGTGCAAGCAAGTAACATGAAAGCTATACTACAAACCATTTTATTCCTACCAGAATAAACAAACCTCTCACAAACAGATTCCAATCATAACAACATTCAATTTCCAGACCATAATAAAATTGATTTAAATCCACCGTTATGCTATTAATCCTCTAATATCTCATAAATTCCAGCAAATCATCAAATGACCTGATTTAATCTTACTCGAAATTCAAAACATTCCATTTGTATTCTACAATTCATGATATTTCCAACTTGTCTTGCCTGTTTCACTATTTTTGGCATTGCCTGTGTTCAGCTTTTTATTCTTCCTATTTTCTATATCCGTCTCGTTCTGCACCAAAACATGTACGCATTGAAGGAAGAGGCAGGGGAGGGTTTGGGGGTCATTCCTGAATGTAAGCATATTTTGCAGATTATTCTGAATTTTTTGGATGTCTGAAGTTGGTTTCAAAGGATTAACTAGGTCAAACTCCTCTAAGTACGGACAAACTTTATTGTATGTTGCCCCTGATAGTCCAAGAAATGAGATCCTAGCTACACCCCTTTACAGAAATATTCAAAATGATAGGAATATTCTTTTTTGCCATACATTTTATGTTAAAAAGCAGGAGCAATAATAAAATATAAAATTATATCGAATGGATGTTATGTGATCAATAACCTCGACTTTTTATTCTGTCTCTCAATTTATGTTTTGAAACTGATGCAGATAACATGGCATTTATGTTTCAATGTATTGTTTTTTTAGCGCATTTTTGAAACTTGTTTCAAAAAGGTAGCTTAATAACGCACTTTGGTCGGCTGGTCGGCTGGTCGGCTGGCTGGTCGGCCGCTAAGAAAAACTTTTAATCTAGACATCGTAGAGAGTTCTAGTTTTTTGCATTAGTTCCGTTATATCGAGTTATTGGCCCGCCGGACATTTAAAAATCTTAAAACAGTGTATTTATGCTATAATTAATGAATTTTTGTTTTGTTTTCAGTGTAACCTGCTCAAATTTTATTTTACCTCTATAATTTCAATATTACCTCTATAATTTCAAAAAATTTCTAGCCGTTGTAAAATTTGAATTTCAAAAAACCGTTAAATGATAAACTTTTTTTGTATGGAAATTCATTGGAACAAATTATTTAATTATACTATAATTAATTTTTTCGTAGTGCAACTTATAGCGGGAAAATTTCAAACTATTTATTGACCGTTAGAAAATTTGAATTACAAAAAAATGTTAAATGATAAACCCTTTCTGTATGAAAATTCATTGCAACAAATTATTTAATTATACTATAATTAATTTTTTCGTAGTGCAACTTATAGCGGGAAAATTTCAAATTATTATTATATTGACCGTTAGAAAATTTGAATTACAAGAAACCGTTAAATGATAAACTCTTTCTGTATGGAAATTCATTGCAACAAATTGTTTAATTATACTATAATTAATTTTTTCGTAGTGCAACTTTTAACGGCAAAATTTCAAATTATTTACTGACCGTTAGAAAATTTGAATTACAAAAAATCGTTAAATGATAAATCCTTTCTGTATGGAAATTCATTGCAACAAATTATTTAATTACACTATAATTAATTTTTTCGTAGTGCAACTTATAGCGGGAAAATTTCAAATTATTATTATATTGACCGTTAGAAAATTTGAATTACAAAAAACCGTTAAATGATAAACCCTTTCTGTATGGAAATTCATTGCAACAAATTGTTTAATTATACTATAATTAATTTTTTCGTAGTGCAACTTTTAACGGCAAAATTTCAAATTATTTACTGACCGTTAGAAAATTTGAATTACAAAAAATCGTTAAATGATAAATCCTTTCTGTATGGAAATTCATTGCAACAAATTATTTAATTATACTATAATTAATTTTTTCGTAGTGCAACTTATAGCGGGAAAATTTCAAATTATTTACTGACCGTTAGAAAATTTGAATTACAAAAAATCGTTAAATGATAAATCCTTTCTGTATGGAAATTCATTGCAACAAATTATTTAATTATACTATAATTAATTTTTTCGTAGTGCAACTTATAGCGGGAAAATTTCAAATTATTTACTGACCGTTAGAAAATTTGAATTAAAAAAAACCGTTAAATGATAAATCCTTTCTGTATGGAAATTCATTGCAACAAATTATTTAATTATACTATAATTAATTTTTTCGTAGTGCAACTTATAGCGGGAAAATTTCAAATTATTTATTGACCTTTAGAAAATTTGAATTACAAAAAAACCGTTAAATGATAAACCCTTTCTGTATGGAAATTTATTGCAACAAATTGTTTAATTATACTATAATTAATATTTTCGTAGTGCAACTTTTAACGGCAAAATTTCAAATTATTTATTGACCGTTAAATAATAATCCTTTCTATATAAGCATTCATTGTAACTTTTTGTTAATTACACTAAAATTAATGATCTTCTAATCTTCTCATGATCTGTAAATGAACGCAAAATAATTACATAATCAAATACTGATCGCTAACACAAAAATGCGCTTAAGTCCCTCGATCAATAACACGAGGACTTCTGTAATTTTTTCTGCTACTGCTTGGCACTGCCATAATTTTAATGAAATGCAATACTATAAATAATTCAGTAGAAAGACAGAAACATTGTCCCGCATGAGACCAATGATGTTCAGCTTTTTTTTGTTATTTAAACGAGAGTTAAAATATGTGAGACAAAAAATTCAAGCACAGATTTTTTTAATTTAATAATTTTTCGTCTTCTTTAACGTGAAAAAATGACTAAAATTTTTTTGTATTTATGGGATGCAATAAAACATGAAAGTTGATATGCAAATGAAGATATGACTTTGATGCTCATAATCATATGCAGTCGTCGTTGTTGCTGATGATGACGATGATGCATAACCCATGATATACAAAAATATTAAATAAATACAAAAAATATAAGATTCACAAGTTGCGGTGAGTTTAGATATGATTTGGAGTATAGAGCGCATTTTTTGATTGTTGGATATAGAGGTCTTTGAGATATAAATTGCTTTGATACTTAGTGTAACACATGAATAACATAAGTTACCGTCAGACACTCAAATTGAGCTTAGCAGTTGAATTAGTAAGATGAGCCACTAGCTTCAAGCCATGTCCATAAGATCTTAATCAAATAGTCTCCATCCAATCTCAAACTGACTAACCATCAACAATGTAGGACACATTTATCACCAACTTCAAATTCCCAAACAACACAACACATATCCAAATATCTCATGTAACAAAAGTAAATAAATCCAATCAAAAATTCATACCGTAAAGTTTCATCACATCAGCAATTAGCTTAAGTCAACAGACAAAGTGTGAATCACATCACTTTAAAAGAACAGCGCGGAAAGCTCAACTAAAATGCAAAGCGAGAGATTTTTTATGTTTAACAAAAAAATATTTGATTAAAAAATGTCATATTTATTGACACAATATTTATACATGCACACATCTACATACATCTGTATATCCATATTTATCAGAAAGCGTAGCGTACGGCAGCATCACCAGATAGTTTTTCTTTTATTTTATTTTTCATCATTTTATTTTGAATATTTAATTTTGCTTGCAGCCAAAAAAAAGCACTGCCCTCATTGCTTATAGTTGTCGAGAAATAAAAGACATGCAGGAATAGTGTCGTAATATTATCCACGGGAAAAAAATGAGATAAAATTTAAATGCGATTTATCTCTTTTCTCTTAATCATGTGTTGTGCTTTTTTATCCTATTTATAAGGATTGAATAGATTCAGATGAAAATCAGGAGAATTTTCGTTTTGAGAAAATTGTCAAATTTGCAATATAAAATATATCTTTTTAACTTTAATATAACTTAATATAACTTTGTATGACTTAATATAACTTAATATGACTTGCAATATAACTTAATATAACTTAACATGACTTGCTATTGATTAGTTAATTTTGAGAATTTCAAATAATTTCAAGTTTAAATTATCATTTACTGGTTTTTATGTTTAACTTTGACTTCTTTTAATTGATAAACATTTTAAAATAAACCTTTTTGGTTTTTGCTTCCATTTCTTTTCTTTGCAATTTTACTTTACTGCGGGTTGCCTAAATTAATGAAATCAAATTAACATATTGAATCATAAAAATGATTAGAAATGATTCAGGATTAATAAACATAACTAATGTTATCAAATAATACAATTTTTTGAGGAGATTAGCTTTTGAGAATAGATTAGTAATTTTTTTTATTGAATTTTGTCGAATAATTGGAATTTCCTGAATAATTTTCTATTTGCTGCTTTAACCTGATATATCATGTTGTTTTATAACTTTAAGTTATGAAATTAATTGTATGCTTCATACATACTTTATCTACATTTATAACATTTCAAAAATATTCAATATATAAATAGTTTAAAAAAGTTGAAAATTCATTCATTCAGCAAAAAAGTCTTTTGAAGCTACGACAAAAAGTATAAAGTGCCAATATGAATCTAAGTGAAGATGCTTTAATCCAAATATTTCATCAATTGGACAGTATTTCTATTTCAAATTTTATTCTTTCTTCAAAATTGTAAGTATTTTCAAAAACTTCTTTCAAATGAATTAAATTAAATTAAAATATTTTCTTCCAACAGCGCATTTCATGTGTTTTGTAATTCATCAGAACTGTTAAGAAGATATGAATTGAAAATTACGAGCAGAAACTTTAAGCAAATTAGTGAAAGTGTAATTTTTGAAAATGTTAAATTTAGAAACATTTTAATATCCGTGAAAAGTACAACGGAATTTAAAGATCTTGTAAGGTATCTAAGCAGATACAAAGAATCACTAGAAATTTTAAAAATTAATGACTTTAATTTCAAAAATATTGAAGAATGTCGAGAGCTTTTTTTGGGGTTTGAAAACTTGAAAATCTTAAAGTTGAACAAGTGTCACGTGGAAGTCTTGAAATGTGACAAATTAACTCCAATTAAAACTTTAAAATCAATATCATTTCATAAATGTAGCGACAATATATTCAAAATATTCACAAATCAAGAATCAATTGAAAAAATAACAGTTAGTAATCATGATTGGACTTGGAATGGTATCCCACATGACGTATTTAATGAGATATGTAAAAACTGTAAGAACTTGGATCATCTCGTGCTAGAAGGAGCAGGAACTGGTTCTTATTTTGACAATGACGAATTTCCGTTTAAAATTACAAAACTTGGGACATCAATGATAACTTTTCACTGGTATGTTGGCATTAGGTCACCACGTGTTTATTTTTTGGAGTCTCAAAAAGGATATTTAAAGGAACTGACGATTCACCAACTTCCATATGATTTCGATGGTGGGAAAGTCCTGAAATACATTATTGAGGAGATGAATTTGGATAAATTTAATTATGGTGAAATTCCATTAATCCAAAATGGACAGAAGCAAGCAATTAAGGAATTTGAAGCTTCTGAAATCCAAATTACTAGCGCCTATGAAATAGTCACACATTTTACTTGCGATAAATTTATCTTAAAACTCTCAAATACAGACATATCAAGTGATTCCATAGAAAAGATCATAAATCCATCAACCAACATATTTGACAACATTAAAGAATTTGAAGTAATTGACAACAGCTCAAACCGAGGAATATTTGGAGTATTTTTAGGACTTTTCAGGAATTTAAAGAACATTCTAAAGCTTACATTTAGAACTCAGGATAAGAACATCAACACAATTTTTGAATGTCTCAAAATCATGTCTAATTTGGAAGTAATCAACTTAACTTCAACAGCACCTAGAGCATTGCAAAGGTATCAAACAATTTTGAAAAAGGCACCAAAACTTAAGAAAATCTACATTGCAAAGCAGACAGTTGAAGATGCAATTAATGCATTTAAAAACAGCCAAATTGAAATTTTTGACATTGAAAATTCACAATGTCTATGGGATTTTACATCAAAGAGCAAGTTGTTATGTACGAGCGATGGATATAATCAAATGAAGATTCAAGAAACAAAGTTTCTGACTGGTGTATGTTTTAAGGGTCAGACACTATGGTGAATTTTTTCAAAAGATTATTTTCAATAGTGTCTAACCCTTCATATAAGATGTATTAACCGTACAGCACCAACAAAGTATTGATTAGCATTATAGTCTACATCGAATTCACCTTCAGAAGATATTTGTTTAAATTTATGTATAGTCGGTATGATTCTTGTCAAATCTAGTCAATCACGAGTTCTATAAGTTTCAGCTGCTATTGTAATAATATATTTATGAATAAAAATTAATGAATTTAATCTAATATGATTAATTTTTCTGAAAATAAGCACCAGTAAGTCAAACGGTTCAGAGTCTAACCAGTGTTGTCCAAACTGTGTGCCGCGGCACAGGGTTGTGCCCTAATTTTTTTTTGGAAATGACCCTCGTGCGACTTTGGTCATGACTTCTCCCTAAAGTGTGCCGTGGCTCAAAAAAGTTTGGACATCACTGGTCTAAACAATCCACTCAGATAATCTGAATTTTAACCATGCCCTCTCATCCCCCTTCGCAACATCCAAAGCAAAGCAAAATAAAATATTCTAAAACTGCTTTTAAAAGAACTTCCTGAAAGTACTCTTTTAGAATGCCTGAATGATGATAACAACAAAAAAAGTATATGAGTTCAAAAAAGAGCGTCAAGAGTTATTGAATTTTTTATCTCGCTCAAAAAAAAACTTTCACACAATATATATTCTTGACTATATATTCTAAAGCGTTTTGTCTATTCATTTGGAATTTATAAAAAATCTCTCTCGTCGCACATCCACCCAGAGCAGCACATAGCAAAGAGAAATATTTTTTTTCTAAAGCTTTATTTTTTGCTGAGCAAAAAGAAGAAACAAAAAAATTCTGGTGTGTATTTTTAATGAAATTTATTGGCTTGGGATGTACCTGAGTTGACTGCGAAATTGTGTGAAAAACAAGGAAGTATGTAGAAGTGGCTTTTAAATATCTACAATTTTTTTTATTCTATTCGAATATTTTTTTATCTATTCTATTCTTTTAACTTTGAATGAACATGCATACGAGGAAAAAATTGGAAGCCATAATAAAAAAAAAAGCTATTGCCGGCATTCGTTTGTTATATCAATCACGCATTTAGATATTGCTTTTATAGGTTTTTATTTTTATACGCTTTTATTTGCATTGGGAAATGACTTTTGCGAATTTGAATGCATATGAAAATATGGCGATGATTTTAGGTGGAATTTATTGCATTTTTTGAAAGATATGAGCTAGTTGGTGACACTAATAAATTTTTGGAATTGAAAGTCAGCACTAAGGATCTATGAAGCTTACTTACTTTGGCTGGAGCACTTTGTGCTCATTACTAGACATGGAGAATGTGAATAGACAGTTTTATCTTTCAATAATCCTATTTTTCCATTAAAGCAAGGACCTATACTGAATGCATAGTTTTGTATATCTAATGCCTTACCTAGATTGCCACTTGATCAGAAAACTATAATGCATTTTTTATCAAAACCAAACCAAACATTCATCCACAAAACAAACAAATAATATCAATTGAAATTCCATTAAACTCTAAAAAAGTTTCCATTTCCTTAAAAATCATACTCAATAAAAAATATACAAATAGCAATAAAGTACTCGAAACATTTTTTGGCACTCAATATGTTGGCAATAAATTTAATAGAATTGGATTAGTCCGCTAACATCGTGCAAATTATTACGATAATGTTCCTCATTCCATATCCTATTTCTTTCACGGTTATTTACCATATCGCGCATAAATAACAACTGCGAATCCATCTTTAGACAGATTTATGCATATGAAAGGCTTAGTGCCGTTAAGAAAACAAATAAACAATTCGAAAAAGCTCAAAGAGTCATCCATCTTATGCTGTCGAGATTCGAAGACCCATCATAAATCTAATAAAGCGTGAATATTCACTCCTTCTAGTCCTCAGTCGGTTGTACGTGAATCATGAAAATTCGTGGCGTATGTGGCATTATACATACAAATATTTCTTTTATGCTGAATATAATGGAATGAGATATTTAATATTTTGATAAATAAATTGCTTAATTCCGTTGCTATAATATTCTATATCATTGCAACTTAAATCCGCTGAAAGCTGCTCTTCACATGATTTACGAAAATAACAACAACAGAAAAAATGTTTTCAGGCGAGATTGATGATGGAATTGAAACTTCCGTGCTTGGTTTTCTCAAGGATTTTGCTTTAAATTTGAAAAATTTGATTTCTAAGATTTAGCTGTTATTTTGCCCTAGCCTGAAATGGCACTTGATGCAAAATTTCAGATTTTTGAAAATATGGCTGTTGACGGAGCTGACTCATTGAAATCTGGTTCCATGCTGGACTAGTGTCAATATTATTTATCATTTTTACATCAAATACCTTCAATTAAACTGTTATAAGGTCCAGGAAAACTTATAAGGGATATATCATTAAAGAGTACGGTTTTTAACTTCTCAGCCCCTCTAAATCTGTCCAATAAATTTAAATTAAACAATACTTACCCAATATCATCGCCCTAATATCCCAATATCATCGCATGGAAGCAACTTACCAGTTCTTTTTCCACACAACACATCAACACACTCACAAATATTCCCAATCTCCATCCACCAATTTTTCGTCATGATCCATGCGTTGAACGAGTCGGCAATAAATTGCCTCGCATTCATCACTTTTTCATCAACTTGATTAAGACTTTTTTTTTGTTTTATTAAACTTTTGCTTCCCTTTCCATTCGTTCATCTTTCCCTTTTTTTTTCTTCATTTTCTCATCTACAGCAAATGAGTGTTATAGCAACTACTATACAGCGTATTGCCTCAATTTATTTATTTTTTTTTTCAAATGACTTTTATTTTCGTCTCTTACTGACTGTTACATTTACAGTAAAGTGGCAAATGTCCGTTCAGCTCATTCAGGCTCATCAATTTTTCATCTTGATGAAAAATAACTTTCAATTGAGCTTTCAGAAACTTTGTGGCTTTCTTTTTCTTCATCGTTCATCGTTAGTCGTGAGGATGGGGAAATGGAAATGAATTCATTGAGGCTGAATGGAATGAAATATGGCAGTTTTTAATTATTTTTTAAAGTAATGTTTTGCAACTATGAAGGAGGCTTAGACGAGCCTTAACCATGACTATATCTATAAAGTATCTTCTAGGTTTTAATTTGAATTGCTTTAAGTAGAAAGAACACTTCTTAGTCTAGCATTTACAAAACAGTTACTCTGTACAATGCCTACGAACAGGCACAACAATAAAAAAATATCGCATTTAAAAAATCAGAAAATTTAAACGGCCATTGCCATTTTTTGTGATTCTTATCTATGCCTTAATTACTTGTTTCATATTTAAATTTAAAAACGGCACTTAAAGACCAAATAATGTGCCATAAAGTTCCTCCTTATTCCTTACAATTATGATAAAATTTATGTTTTAGTGATAAAAAAGGAACTAGCTGTAGGCCACAGGACAAGTAAATTTATGAATATTTGAAATTGATGAAATGCTGCTAAGTTAAATGGAATTCTAAAATTAAAGCCTTAACTCCAACTTATAATTTTAAAATTTTGATTAATAATTTCCAAAGCTATGCAAATTAAAATTCAGAAAATCCCTGAAAGTTATCCACAAACCGCTTTAGAAAATGGAATTAAAATCTTGATCTCATTTTTATCAACCTACTTAAAATTTCAACTCACAATTCATTCCAATATTTACTTCTCCGTGCTTCTTCCTTCCATAATCCGTGTCGCACAAAATTAATTGCTTCAGTATTCGTGCCGTTGATTAATAAAGTACTGATAAAAAGCATTTGTGATCCTTGTGGGAGTTTTAGTGGGATTTATCAAGGCTGTTGGGATCAATGTGAAGTAAAAGCTTTGCTAATTATAGGGCTATTAAATAAATACATACTTGACTCAATAAATTTAGGATTTGAACTTAGTTTTTGGTTCATGATCAATTTTGTAACCAGCTTTTCCAATTCAAATCTAAAATCCATTCAAGGGTCGATCATACCCATGAATATTTTATTCAACATTGCAATTTAAAGCCGACAGGAGCGATGAACAATTTTTTTTTGTTCATACACAAACGTGAGTTTATAGCCATTTCCATCCTTGGAGGATAGAAAAAATTATGTGAGCAAAAATAGAGACACAGAAAAATTTACAGGTTTGTAGAATAAAAATTATTGTCGGCTTAGCGACATGTCAGGGATTTTTATTCCAAAATTGACTTTTAAAGAGATTTAAAAATTAAACTGAAAGGCTATGCCATGATAACAACTAAAGGTCTCTGGCAGCACAAATCTCAAATTCATCTCTACAACTTCTTCAAGACCTGTTCTATGTCCTCAACTTCCTAACAAGCTCGTCTGCGTATCTATGACAAACATTCTTTTTAATTCTCTCTCATTTTTCAATTAAGGAATAAATTTCTCTTCAGCAAATTATAAGTTGTTTCACGACATCATAAAAATGCAAGGGGAAAACAACACGATGGGAAACATTTTGATGAAAATTTATCAACAATTCTTACTAAAATTGATGGAAAATCGGAAAGAAAATTTCATTAAAATTCAAACTTTTTCTCATCACGTTGTTGTCCCCTTGTAAAAATGCGAATGTATAACACATTTTTTGTAGTTTTTAAACAAGTTTTAATGAAAAACTTTCGACATCTTTATTGGCAACAATGAAGCCGCAAGAAGGTAAGAGTTTGCTCTTGTGGATGTGAATTTGTGGTGTTGGAAGTAGAAAAAAGATTATTTTTCTCTGAAAAAATTGAATACTTGACGTGCTGAATATTTTTTTAAAATAGTTTATTAATTAAATTAAGGAATTCTTCTCGACATGATCCTTAGCTCCTTTCTCCTCTGAAATCAGAATGCAGCCTCATATATTGCAATAACGAGCTAAAAAAATACATCCTCAAACAATTAGCATAACTTAATTAAATATCCAAATATGAAAAATATGTTGCAGCCGCAAAAGAATGCAAACGCGTCAAAAA